TGGGACGAAGTATAAACTTTTAAATCAATTCAATTCAATTTTATTTATATAGCACCACATCACAACAACAGTTGTCTCACAGCTTTCCTAACAGAGCAGGTCAGACCCTACTCTGAAGTTAATTACAGAAACCCAACAACTCCCACCATGAGCAAGCACTAGGCGACACAGGCAAGGAAAAACTTCCTTTAACAGGCAGAAACCTCGAGCAGAACCATGGCTCAGGGTGGGCGGCCATCTGCCGCAAGCATAACATTAGCAAACAAACAACGTTCTTTGGGAAAAGGCTGCGCGCTCTCGAGATGGATTTTAAAACTGCCATATTTAGAAAACGGCTGAATATTTTTAGGAGGAAAGTAATAGATGAACAGAACACAAGACAGGACCAACATCTGTAAGTCCATGTAGAAATAAATGATGGTGAATAATAATTTAAACGCGACATGAACAGGTATACAGCACTCGATTGCTTACAGACGGTTGGTGTTTTCAGCTGCGACATTAACGCTAGTGCATAAACTTTGTTATTTTTAAGTATAAACCATTGCCCCCCTAAAATACACTTGGCCACCCCCTTGCTACCCCAAGGATAAAAGTCTAGATCTGCCACTGGCTCCGCCCACTCCAACATTCCCCATATTGATCCTTTTCTCCCTCTTCTTCTGCAGAACCTGCCTCCCGTTCATGACCAACTACGTGTTCCACTGCAACGTCTGCCACCATAGCGGGAACACCTATTTCCTCCGGAAACAAGCCAGTGGGTGACCCGCCGGTTTCAGATAAGATATAAAAATTTGATTGAAATAATAAAATATAAAGATTTAATTGAAATAATCGAATATAAAAATGTATTTAAAATAATTCAAATAATCAAATAAAAAAATTTATTTAAAATAATCAAATATAAATATAATTCAAATATAAAAATATAAAAATGTATTTAAAATAATCAAATATAAATATAATTCAGATAATGAAATATAAAAATGTATTTAAAGTAATCAAATATAAATATAATTCAAATAATCAAATATAAAAATGTATTTAAAATAATCAAATATAAATGTAATTCAAATAATCCAATATAAAAATGTATTTAAAATAATCAAATATAAATATTCAAATATAAAAACATAAAAATGTATTTAAAATAATCAAATATAAATATGATTCAAATAATCAAATATAAAAATTTATTTAAAATAATCAAATATAAATATATTTCAAATAATCAAATATAAAAATGTATTTAAAATAATCACATATAAATATAATTCAAATAATAAAATATAAAAATTTGATTGAAATAATAAGATATAAAGATTTAATTGAAATAATCAAATATAAAAATGTATTTAGAATAATCAAATATAAATATAATTCAAATAATCAAATATAAAAATGTATTTAAAATAATCAAATATAAATATAATTGAAATAACCAAATATTAAAATGTATTTAAGATAATCAAATATAAATATAATTCAAATAATCCAATATAAAAATGTATTTAAAATAATCAAATATAAATATAATTGAAATCAAATATAAAAATGTATTTAAAATAATCAAATATAAATATAATTCAAATATAAAAATGTAATAAAACCCCGCTAACCGTGCTGCTGTTTGTTTGTTTCTCAGACTTGAAGGAAATGTGCCTCACGGCCCTGGCAAACCTCACCTGGCGGTCCAGGACCAAAGACGAACACCCGAAAACCATGTTTTCCAAAGACAAGGTGGGACGATGGCTCTAAGCCTGTAAAGCAGAATATGGAAGGATTAATACACAGTTTTAGGAGGCCCATGGCATCATCAGCCAGTCAAAAATGTATTCAAAATAGGGTTGTCACGATACAAAAATGTTCAACTGGATACCAATACTCAGGAAAATATTTGATACCACAAGGATAAAAACAAAGACCCCAAAATTTAACTGAATTTGGACAGGTTAGTGTCTTTGGTTTCAAACTGACCTGTTACTGATGTTATGGTGGCCCACATTAATGACCCTAACCCTAACCCTGACCCTAAACCTGAAAGTAAACGTAAACATAACGCCTGACCCTAACCCTAACCCTAACCCTAACCCTTCGTAATTGTGAGAAATAAATATTTTTTAGTTAAACTTGTTTGGACTTATTGTACAAACCTATTTAACATCCACTATTTTAACATAATATTATGGATAGAGTTTAATTAAGTGTTAGCAAGATTCATTTCACTATTTTTAAATTAATGTCTATATTGCCATGAAGCAATTAGGATTTTCTTGCCTGGGATCTTCCTGTTGGTCACCTAATCAAAATGGCCGACCTGGATGTGGGCGGAATTGATTGTTGATTTTTTAGTATCAATAGTTTTTGGAGTATCGGTAATTTTGACAACCCTAATTCAACAACCCTAATCCATTTTATGGAATATTTTCCTTTTTACTTAAGTTTACGGGAAAGATGTGAAGAAGATATTGATTCAAATATGACGAAAAACAAATGTAAATTAAATCC